TATGACAGAATAAGTTTGCAATAATGGCAAAGGATAAAAATCCTGTATTTTGAAGGGCAGGTGATCATATACCGTGTTTCACGACTGGAAACTTCATCTAATCCTACATTCCCCAATGCTAGAACCCTGAATTCTAGCCACGGCCGACGTCGCATCGCGGGCTGCGGCGGCTGGCGCGGCGACCTAGCCATCGCCACGATTGAATAGTCACGCACCCAAATTTCCCTGACCACTCACAATCGAAAGCATCTCTACGAAGGTATTCCAGCCCATACCAGAAGTTCCGAACGCTAGAGAAGGTCTCAATCAGGGTGAGCGCTCCTGTCGAGGTCAGCATCAATCACAACGTATTGGTTGTTTTTCTGTATCTGTTTCAACGGTGCTTCTAAGTGAAGTGCGACATACTGATTCGAAAAAAAAACCTGAGCATAGAGCATAGCAGAGCAGCAGCACTGCGCGCGCCTAACCGAGACGCTTGACTACCTAAGCAGGAACCTGGTTTAGACGAGAGCCAGTCCGCGTTTTGCGCTACTTCTACACCAACTTACACTTCCTGGGGAATAACCTAAGCGTAGGGGACATTTGGGAAAATCAGAATGAACGGTCCTACCCTAGGTACTCATCTGGGTCGTTAGGCTAAAAGCCGCTATTGTTTCAGAAAGACACACAACCGCCCTTCCACCGAGGCATACTGCACCGACTATCTCAAAATGCATACCCAGAAATTCACTAATAAATATAAAAAAGGCTCATCCATCCCACGACTTCAAGATCTGTCGTTGTAGACGCCTCAGCACCTCAGCGTGTCCATTTCCCCAGTGCACCTGGCATAGGTGCTCGCATTGTTGGGGAGAGGGGAGGAGGTACAGTAGCTCGTCCTCGCTATTGTAATAGAAATTCTTCAAAAAAGGAAGCTCGGTGTAGGTGAACCAGTTTGTCCTCCTTCTTCGCCCAAAGATGAGCCGGGATGGCAATGTTGAAGAATGAGATTCTCGAATGTATATGAGTATGTCAAGCAAAAGGGACTCCTAGGATCAAGTTACTTGCATATCATAATTTGTTCTTTTGAGCATAAAACATGTACTAGCTCAGCCACAATTCAATGTTAACGAATT